AAGAGAAGACGGAGGGGAGACATGATCGCAGTCTTCCAATACTTGAAGGGTTGCCACAGGGAATGTATTCTCCATAGCACTGGAGGGTAGGACAAGAAGCGATGAGTGGAAGCTCATCAGAGGGAGATCCAATCTGGAAATAAAGAGGAATTTCCTGACTGGGAGGACAGCTTGGGGACAGCTTGCCTCCTGGAGTTGTTGGGTGCTCCATCGCTGGAGGTTTTCAAGGAAAGATGGGGTGACCATTTGTCCCAGATGGTATGAGGATGCCTCCAGGGTCTCTTCCAACCCTACATCTGGGATTCTGCCTCCCCAGCCCCACGGACCCAGCAGCAAGCCTTGGGATGGGGAATGCGCGGCTTCTGAGAAGGGGGAGCGGAGAAAGGAGGTGGGGGGGAATGCAGGACACAACTTTAAATTGCATGATTCCTCCTCCCCGAGAAGGCAAGTGCTGGGGAAGTTGAGAGAAACCCGACCTAGGAAGAGAAGCAGGGGGGAAATGGGATTACAGTTCCCATCCTCCACAGAGCCTTGCCTGGGGACGAGAGGAAATAGAGCAGACCCTCCGGGGGGGAGCTCATGTTGGGCAGATTAAAAAGATGAGGACACGGCAAGCGGGTGAAAGCAAAACAGATGGCTCGAAGCAGGAATTCGGCAAGGCGTCAGCTGCAAATGTCCCTGGGGGGAGTCAAACATCTTGTGGATTCGGGGGGGGGGAACAGATCTGGGGGGGTCAGTAGATGAAAGGGATGAGTCTGGGGGCAGAAATGTTGTTGGTTCTTGCTCACCCCCTTTTTTGGGGTCCAATTTGCCCCCTTGTCATGCGCGTCTGTGTGCGTGAACTGTCTCCTTCCTTTGACCAGGTTGTGGAATTAGCAACGGGAGACCGGCGCCACCTATCTGCCACGAAGGGAACCGCACACCTGATAAATGCTTGCAGGGTCTGGGTGGGGGGCGGCTTGCATTATGGACAGCAGCGTTCTGCAAATCATCGGCCAGTGTGGCCTTAGTTTTGGCTGGTGCTTGTTGAAATCCTAGCTGGAAACCTCCCTAGTTAATCTTGTATCAATCAGGCCTCTCCATCCAGCCCACTTCGCAGAGCAGAGCGGAAAAGGGAAAGGAAAAGAACCGTGAATGCCCCTGAAAGCTCCTCGGAAAGGAGGAAATAAAAGTGCAAAAAAAAAAAAAAAGTTATTTGTCAGATTCCACTTGGGGCAAAAAAAAAAAAAAGTTTGCAAATCATTTACAAGAAGAGCACGTTATTTTTAGTTTACCTCTCATGTAACACGTTCACCTATTTTTGGATCTTATTGGAATATTAAAGATCGTGTTTATATAAGCTTCTAAACAATATTAAGACATCAGGCCTGTTGCCAGCTAAGGTTTTTCCCGAGTGCTACCTCCCACACTTTTAAGCCTATTTTTCCCTGCTACCCACTTTTATTACGGCTATAGCCTAGGAATCCTGAATTCAAAATTCCTTTTCTTTTCAAATATTTGCTTCTGCCTTTAGGCTCCTTTGCTTGTGAGCTCTTAAGCCTTTTCCTCCACCTTGCTTAATGTTGCTTTTGCCGAAAGGGAACAGCGTGACGGGCGAGCGTGTACATATGCTGAATTCTCCACTGTGTTCAGTTTTTGGTGACGGAGCTGAATCTCAGAATTCGTGAAAGAAAAATTAAGATGGGGCAGCTTCTTGACAGCTAAACAGACAACGAAGGAAGACTGCCCTATTCGGGGGGTTGACTCCCAGCCTGTTTTCCTGAAATCCAGCCTGAACAGCACAGGTCTCAACCGGAAAACTCCCGTGCCCCTTGCAACCACAACAATGGACCTTCTGCACTCAACTGGGTGGGTGGGCTGGGAACAAATTCCATCACAACTTGCTGGCAGTCTCCCCCGCTTTGTGCAAACACGGGGAGACCCTGCGCACCAGAGCCGAATTCAAGTGACTTTGTGAGGGGAGAGCAAGGTATTTTCCCTGCAACGGGTCTGGGCTCCCCTTTCTCCATGCCCTAAAAGAAGCAGGACAGCAGGTTTAAAACTAACGCCATCTCTTTATTATGCTCTCTTTCCTGTATCATCAGAAGAATAAAAAAAACATTTTCCCAAAATAAAATACAAATCAACGGGAAGGACACTGGCTCCAGAAGAGAGAGTGGAAGGGCTGGGAATCAAACTATCCCCACACAGGGGAGGAAGAGCCCTGCTGCTTCTGCCCCCCGCCACGCCCGACCCTTCTCTGCCCTCCCAGCGCTGGAAAAAGAAACTCAACCCCCTCGGCTGGCTTTCCCGCTGTTCCTCCTTCCTCACAAACTTGGAGCTCGATTTGGGAAAGGGCCGCCGCCGCCACCATCTCCCCCCCCAGAAGGTCAAAAGAAAGGTTGGGGAATAGCTCAGCGGCGCCCCCCTCTGTCCTGTACAGGCGTGCTACGACTCCGACTTCGGCTGTGGCGGCTTTTGGCCTCGCGCCGTTCCCGGTCTCGGCCGCTGCGCTCGCCTGCCCGGCTGGCCCCACTGCTGGTGGCGTTGGGGCGCTCGCGCTCCCGTTCTCGGCTGTGCTCCCGCCGCTTGTCCCGCTCAGCTTGGCGGCTGCGTTCTCGCTGGCGGGCCTCCTCGGCTTCCAGTTCCTTGCGCCGGCGCTCACGCTCTCGAGCCCTGGCCGCCCGCTCGGCCTGCTTCTGGACGCACTGGGCGAGAGGAAAACCAGGAGGGAAGAGCAGCTGTTAACAGGTGACTGGCCTGGGAAGGCTAGCCCAAGAAACGTTTCCCCAAATGCCTGGAAAGCTGAGGGTGAAGGAAAAACACATTCCACTTCTTTTCCCCAGACGTTTCTGAGTCCCGCAAAGATGCCCAGAGTTCCTCTTCCTCCTCCATGAAAAACCAGAGTTGAAGAAACCCAGAGCCCACCTCCCGGGCCATCAAGTCACGCCAGTTAGCACCCGTCCCTTCTCACCTGAATGTCCGTGAGGGGCAGCCAGTAAATGCAGGGGGCTGCCTTGGTTTTGCGGAAAAGATCGTCCAGAAGTTTAGCTGGGGGCTCCTCCTGGGCCTTTTCTGTTGGGGAGAGAAAGTGGGGGGTGGGGGGGAAGGTGAGACAGTCGGCCGGAGCTCTATGCTTTATCTGCTGGGTTTAAGGGAGAGCTTTTGCAAAACGGCTGGAGAAGGCCAGGCCTGCCTGTCCCCCCACCCCAATATCTTGGTCATCTGAAAAGGCGGGTCAGAGGTCTGGTTAAAATGGACTGGCTAAACCAACATGAGACCCCACCAATGTTATCCCCAGACTCATAGCAGAAAGTCAACCTCCTGATATAACCAGGCTTAAACTTAAAAGCTGAGCCTCCAACCAGCCCCTCCCAGACAGCCATGTTCTCTAGGGACAATGGGGGGCTGCCCAGACCTCCCTCCAGCTGCCCGTCACCTTTCTTCTCCGCTTTCTTCTCCTTCGATTTGGGCCTCTCCTTGCGGCGTCTCTCTCGGGACCGGGAGCGAGAGCGGGGCCCCTCGCGTACCTTGTCCCGGTCCCACTCCCGCTCCGCCAGGGTCCGCTCCCGGCGTTCCATCTCTCGCTCCCGTTCGGCCCACTGCTCCCGCACAGCTGCTTCCCGCTCCCGTGCCTCTGAGCGCCGGGGCAGCTCCCGTTCCCCCCGCGTGGCCGGGCCCGCCCCCGGGAACGTGGGCGCTTCATCTGCCTTGGCCTCTGCAGGACGGTCGGCCAGAAGGCCGCGATGGAAGTCCAGCTGAGGAAGAGAAAGGAAGCCCTCAGGTAGGCAGAGGGAGGTTCAGGCCACTTTGGGAGATACAATCGCAGGAGACCCGTCTTGTGGCATCGATCTTACTTTCTTCCCCCTCTGACAGAAGGACAGTCACATCCTGGAGACGCTGACAAATTGGTGCAGATGAATTTCTCCAGTCCTCCTTTGGCCATCATAGCTAACGGCCAGAGAGACGTGTCCTCTGCAAATCCACCACTTTCAGAACATGTATTTCGGTTTCATTTTCCTGCACTGGGCTCCTGTTTCTATTCAACCTGCTCTCAAGGACAGCATAAGCCCCACACTCCTTTCTCTAAGACAGACCTCTTCCCTCCCTGCTTATGCTTCCCGAGACGCAAGGGCAGAGAGCGCACAGGGCTGGACCCATCCCCACCCCTCCCACATCCTTCTTCCCCGCTGAGGTCCGTACCTCATCTTGCTCAGCAAAATCTGCTGACAAAAACTTGGGGTTTGACTGCGGCCACTTCACCCCATGGAGGGCGTTTCGAGTTGCTACGGCTTCTTCCACTGTTGAATACTGAAAGGAAATGTTGGGGGAAGAGAGAGATGTCTTTCCAGCTATTTCTCCACCCCCACCCCCCAAAAATTCCTGAAGTGTTTCCATACATACTCTTAAAGGAAAGACTGCTTAAACATTCTCTCAACAAGATTCTGCAGCACCTTTAGACTCAGGGGCAGTATTTTGCACCCAGTGGCCTAATGAACCAACCTGGACCATTTGGCATCCTCTGTACCTCAGCTTTATATTTAACCTTAAAAAGCACCCATTTGGCTCTTAACAGAGGTTGCCGAGCTTCTACGTGAAATGCAGCCACAAATTCTCTGGAAAGGAGGTGCTCCTTCTGAGGAGAAGACACCCAAGAGACTCACTGTGACGTAGCAGTGTGATTTGATCTTGTCAATCCAGAAAGCCTCCTCTACCAGGGTGCCCGTTCGGCCCAGCAGCTCCTTCAGCTGCCCCAGAGTGAAGGGCCTCACCTATCCACGTGGAAAAACACCCAGGGATTAAGAAAGGACCCTGATCCCAGACTCTTCCCAAATGGTTACGCAGCCCCGAAATACTCACCAGGTTGCAGATGTGAACGATGCAGCTGACCTTGCCACGTGGTGGGGAGGGGACCTGGGCTGTGCGCACGGGGTCGTCGATGGTGATGGAGACCCCAGAGCGTTGCTGGCTGATGGACCGCCGGGTGAGCGTATCGCTCAACGTGACTGTGGGGCGGGGCGAGGGAACACAGAAGCCCAAAGGTGACTCTGCCTGCAAGGCCAGTCTCTCCCCCACCTCTGCCAGTCGCCCTCCAGTACCTTTTTTCACTTCATGCTCTACGGGTGGAGGCAGCACCACCGTCTCTACAGCAACAACAGGAGGAACCTCCGGTTGCTCTTCCTCATGGACCTTCTCCTCTTCCTCCTCCTCCTCCTCCTCTTCCTCCCCTTGGCCATTCTCTTGGCCTTCAACTGGCACCACCTGCGAGAGGGAAGGGTCAGTGTGGGACAGAGATTTCTCAGGAGCAAAGGACCAGGGTCATCTTGACAAAAAGAGAGTTTTGCAAGGACTGGTCCTGCTCTAAACTGATGGTGGGGAAAAAAAAAAACCTGCCACAATAAAACGATTTGCGCAGGGCATGGTCGTGCTAAAATATGGCCTCCCCAAAGATAAGAACCTGACAGCTAGATGGCTCTGGGCCAGGCTGGGGTATTATTTTACTTTTTCCAAGCTTCTTAACCTGAGAATTGCCTGTTAGCATTTCCCTTCTTTTAAATGGTTTATTTTACGGTAGATTTGCTGTTCACCACCCTGGAATCTATTAGAGACAAGAGAGCACTGAAACGTTTTACCTTAACAAATAAGCCATAAAGCGCATGGCCTCGTAGCTCTCCAAGTCCCCCAGCCCTGCCCCCTCTTACAGAGAAGTCCGAGTCCCCTGGGATCAATCGGGACCGCTGACCTGTGTGACCGTGCGGCAGATCTTGAGAGCTTTCTCGTGGGCCGGCTCCTCCAGGTGGCGCTCGGCTTCATCCTCGGAGATGCGCGAGTCGTCCGCGTGGAGCTCCACCACGGCTTCTTGCCCTCCTGCTGGCGGCTTAATCTCAGGGATCAGACTCTGTGGGAGGAGGGAGAAAGGTGCATCAGGGCCTGCTCCCAGGGCTGCCCCAAGGTGACCCTCATCCCCACCTCCAGTACCTTGAGGGATTCTGTGGTGATGCTGATAGAAGGCTTCTTCTGGGTGGTGGCTGTACTAGCCCCCCAGCGCCGTTTACGGCCTCCTGGCTGGCTTCCTTCCGTGTCACTGTTCGTGGCTATGGTCCCCTTGGCCACGGAGGATGCTGCAACCGGAAGAGCCAACCCCAATCTGAGCACCTTTCCAGGGACGCAGTGGCAGCAGCGCATTGCGAATCAACAATTTACTCTTGAGGTGGCCCGTATGAGCAAGTCAGTTCACTGCTATCCTTTCCCCAACCCCCATCTTCTGCACTATCCGCCAACGCTGGGTTAAAAAAAAGAATCTAGCCAATTTTCCTTGTAAAATCACAACTGCCTTTATTACTACATGCATTAAATGGACCATGTTTCTGCTCCCCCAGTGCTACATATAGTAAACTTGCCGAAGGAGTTTTGTAGTGAAAAAGGATGATACAATTGAGAAATAAAAGTAATTTTACCAGGCCACCTGAATACCAAGTATTTTAAGCACACAAGGCCAAGCCACAGGTGCCTCCATTCCAGGAATGTGACTTTACCCTCCCTCCCCAAAGCTAAGGCACAAATGGGACACCCCCCGCCTCTCACAGGTTGAAGCAAAGCACGTTCCCTTCCCAGTTCACACAGCCCTGCAATGGTAGCTTTTGGATTAGAAACCTTAGATGAGCGGGCGCAAACATAGTGGGATGCACACACGGATCTTCAAAGCTACAATTCCCCATATTCCACTCAAGGGTGACCTTGCCTCCTCTGGGGGAGCAGGGGAATCATCCCACCTCCCTCCAAGCCGGACACAGAGGACATTTGTTGCTCCCACTCCTTAAAAATCCAGCGGGTGGGAATCCAGGGGGAAGTCCCCTCTTTCCAGACTCTCTCAACGAGTGGTCAGGGGAGTGTTGAACTCAATGGATGGAGAATCTGCTCCTTTTACTTACAGACAACAGAGATCTTCCTCTTGAAGGCCTTGGGTTGAACTGAACCCTGTGGAGAAAGGGAAGGAAGGAAGGAAGGGCAAGAGAGGGGAAAGTGGGAGAAAGACAGACAAAGAAAAAAGCCCCGTATAGAGGGGGCAGTCAAGTCAGTATCAGGGATTTGGAAAGTGGCTGTCACATCTGAGGGATGCTGAGGGGGGGGGCGGAGAAAAGAGGGCCTAAATAATGAAGGAGGGGCCCAGATGAGGTGGTGGGGATTGGCAAAGGGGTTCTCTGCTGCTTCAACAATGAAGTGGAGATGGTGGAATCCCGCCTCCCCACTTTGCAGTCAATGAAATCTGGTCTTCTCCCCAGGCCAGCTTCTTTGCACATGGCTCCTGCCGCTTTCTCTTCCATCCAGAGGTGTTCATAATTGGAGTTGAATAATCAGAAGTGGTCCCTTTCAGGAGGCCAAATAGAGAATGCCCTACAGCGTTTCCGTCCACATGAGCACAAGAAATACAAATGTTTCTGCAGGTAAAACTACTCCAGGGATACGAAATATATCGAGGACCAACAACACACTCTCATCTGTCTACATCTCTAAGGCTGACCCTGGAGGTCCAGCTGATATCTTCCAGGTCCCTCTGGGTCAGCAGACAGGTGGCACCAAATTAAGGAATAGCTGTCCACAGGAGTTCCACCCAGATCCCTTTTTAAGTCGGAAACAGATAGCTAGCTTTTCTTGATTTTAGCAAGATTTTAATAGGCAAGCTATTTGTTTCATACATTTGCTCTGGTAAGGGTTTTTTAAAAGGATTCCATGGTATTTTTACTGCTTTTCCTCACTGTTCTGCTTTTAATCGTTACACTTCACTATTTCATTATTTTTGTATTATGGAAGCAATACTGATTACTTTTAATGAAAAGTAAGGAAGCAGCAGTAATAGCAAAAGCTAGAGTAGATGAAGCACAAAGCCTTGGGTCTCAGCTGTGTCAGACTACAATTACCATTATCCCCAGTCAGCATACCCTCTCCTATGCTGACTGGGGGTGATGAGAATTGAAAGCCAACACAAATGTGGGGGAAACTTCCTTAAATCCAACAGCTAGCAATTCTAGAAGTCAAGAACATATATCCTGCTTTTTTATTGAAATAATTTTTTTGCCAGCCTTCAAGATAAAAAAAAAAAAACCTTTCAAATGCGGCTTATACATTTTAAACCAACCAACCAAACTATGACATCATTTACTAGATTATTTTAAAGCCATTAGTGTCATGCTGATGGACATGTAAGTCTACACAGACAAGCAGGCAAGAAATAACATACTTTTATGGACATATTTGCCAAGTCTAATAAGACACATTGTCAGTCCATCGCAAGACAGAAAATAAGAAGGAAGAACAGCACAGAACCAGCTATGAATTTTAGCCATTGTAACCCTCGGAGTAGTTCTACACCACATACACATTTGAAAATTGTGGTTTCTCCCCCCTTCAGCATTTTGGGTCAACTGTAAAGAGAGATTTCACCCAGCTACAACATTTATTTGAAAGCAGAACATTTCTCAAGCAACACTTATTACGTAGTTGACCGTTGACTCAGAAGAATCTGAGCCTTGATGGCTTGCACAACTGATTTTCCCACCCTTGAAGAACCATTCCTCTCCCAAGCCTGTATTCACACCAGTCAAGGTGATCTGTATCAAGCAGGCGTGGAAGCGATTTGGAAATATTCTTCATTTCTCAGGCCAAGCCGTCCCAGTTCTCCACAGCTCTGCTTTTCCAGAGGAAACTGGCCTTCCCTTTCTGGGGCCAGCTGAAGCATTTTGGAAAGGGGACACATCAGGCCAAACTCTGGCAATGTTCACATGAGCCAGTAAACAAATTTATCTTCCAAGAGGGCTTCCGTGGGCCTACCCCTCCCGTGATTGCACCAACATGGGGTCACAGTAGCCATCAAGGCACAGATTTCTGCATTTCCATAAAACACATTTCACTTGTTCCTGGCTCAGCTGACCTTCCCCTCTTCCTGCTCCCCTCTACATATGACAGCCCCTCTCTCCACTTTATGGCTGAACAGCAGGTCCCCCTGGGAAAGAGAAGGGGCAGGTGATTGGAAGGGAGGCACCATCCCAATGTCAACACAGTGGTCAGTCTGAGCAAGGATTCGGGGAGGGGGGTGTCAGACCAAACCAGGCCGACACATGCGCTAAGCTAATTCCCAAAGATTCCCCATCATTTAAGAAAAAAAGAAAGCTGAGGGGAACCCCTCCATGATCCACCCGCCCGCCCACAGAAGTTGCAACTGTCTTTTTCATTTAAAAGTTAAATTAAGAACACAAAACAAACAAGCAAAAAATAACAAATTAGGACAAGCGCTCCAGGTACCCTCTCACACCTGGGGCAGGGTCTTCTGTTCAGCCAATCACACCTCAGTGTGTGCGCTGTATCTAGGCAACGGCTGGTCCAATCGGAACGAGCCCTCCCTGGCCTGAAAGGTGCGTGCTTGGTTGGGCTGGGTGACAAGAGAGGTGTTGGTTGGTTGGTGGTAGGTAGGAACCTAGCACTTGATTGGTTGGTGGTCGGAGCCAAGCGTCCCGGAAGAGAGAGGGCGAGACAGAAGCGCCTCCCGCACTGGCAGGGCGGAGGGGGGCATCAGTTCTCAGCAGGCAGATTTGGACCACTGGAGAGCTAAGCACTGGTGTGTGGCACAGTCCCGGAAGTGGCAGGGACTCTGTTTAAGTGGGAAGTGTCAGCGAGCCTGGTGGAAAACGGAAGGCACAACGGGGCAGCCGTCCAAACGACAGGTGGAAACAGATTAACTGGCACTGACAGTCCTTCTCTGGAAGAGATGCCAACGAAGGCAGCATCACACAGAGAGTAATGGACGTCCTCAACGGGGAAGACCTCCTGGGTCTGTAGAACCCTATGTAAACCAAGTCCTCTTAGGTGACTCCCGAAAACTCCACAAAGGTGAAAGTCCTTCACGTGCTGGCAGACAAAGCAGGACTTGTTTGCAGAAGATAGCGCGATTTGTGAAACTGATTAACTCTGTGTATCAGAAGCATAAGAGGACAGAGGAGAAGCCCAACTCCCCAAAAACTCTGAAGTCCAGTCCCAGAATCAGCAGATAAACCTCTGGAGTTATCTGGTTCCTAGGATTTGAAGATCAGCAACTGGGACCCCTTGACTGATGGAAAAGTCACGTAGGCGCTGGAGTCTCTGAAACTTCTCAAACCACCTCCTTTCACAGGGAAGAACCAGACACTCGTAGCAGCGATGAGATCAGTGACAGATGGGAGAGTTCTGATTGCTCTTCTCAGGCAGAAGATCAGAATGCATCTTCAAAGTCTCACATTAACCGAACCCTTCCTTGAACGGTGGAAGGAGATGCAGTTTCAAACTCCCAGAGAAGTTACACAACAGGAGGTTGAACAGCTGACATGTTCTGATGTCGCTGGAACCTTGTTCTGAAGACCAGCAGAGTTTTGACCAGATAGCCCTCCAGCAGCAGCAGCACTCATGGATTGTGGAGATTAACTAGGAACCAGCAGACACAGGTTGGGGTACACAATGGAGCTTTCTGACCCACAGAATTAGGAAGACCCACAGAGCAGATGGGACTCCAAGAGGTACGTTTCTCTGTAGAGAGCTCCGTGGCTATGGAGGTAGAGGACTTTCCACAGAATGAAGGCAGAAACAGTTCCAGGAAGGTCTACTCTGGGTGGCCAAGAAGACAATCTCCGAACTCTCTCATCCACCTCCATGGACACCTGTGTGCAGCCTGCTCAAATATGTTCACGCTCTCTCTCTCCGGTTCTCTCTCTCTCTCACTCTCTCTTTCGCACTCCCAGTAGATTGGTGCCTCTTTAAAACGGGGATCAGAACAAACGAGTCCAGAGGAGAATGTCAACGGGGTTGTGCGGGGAAGCTATCTTTAGGGTGAGGGGGAAGCAAGGCCTGTCCCCACCCACCCCTCTTCTTAGCAGCATGGAAAGCCAGGATCTGAGGTGTGAGTGTAATTATGTATGTGCAGGTGCACAAGTGTATTCCCCAGACATCCCACCCCCATCCTATCATGAACCCCCTCTTTATACAGCACAGGGAAAGGGCCAATTCTCTATACTGGCTGACCAGTGGGAAGAGACAAATATCAGAAAAGCCAGAAGAATGTGGGCAAACCAAATCTTTCAATGAATCCAATTTAGTAAACAACAACAACACAAATTAACTTTGACATAATGAACTGAGAGCAGGAACCCTGGCTAGGGGGCTGGGCTGGGCTGGGGGTATTCACTACCCTGAGAACTCAACCAGCCAGGGTTATGCCTTGGCTTAAGGCAGGGCGATGTGAGAAGCACCAGGCTCAGAATTCTGTGGCCCAGAATCCAGGTTCTGCCTCCAAACAAGACAAAATCAAAATACAAAACACCCTGGAATTCTGGATCCCATGTCAATTAGACAGGCTTCCATCATTTCTCTTATTTCGCATAATTTAGCACTAGATTAGAAAATTAACACAGGCTTTACTAGCCAAGAAATGAAAGGCAAGGAGTGACCTTTTATCCCTGCCAGCCACTGGAGGCTTATTGAACTATCTCTCGGGCTGACAGGCCCAACGTATTTTCATGCACGGTAAACTTACAGCAGTTTATTATGTTAAAAAAAAAAAACTTTCCCCAAGCACACCCAGCACGCTGAAGTTGAAATTCTCGGGAAGCAGAATTGTACACTCTCAACAAAACATGGACCGTGGTGCACACACACTACCCTGCCTCAAGGTTTCCTTGTACTGGAGGGGATAACGGAAAAGAGGACGACTTGGATGGGACGTCACACCAGGAGGCAACTTCCCCTTGCCAAGATTTTGCTAGGGAGCTATGATTTCACCAGGCCTTCTGCCCACCAGGCCTTTCCTCCCTCACAGTAGTTGACTCCCCCCATCACCCCCCAAGGGTGCTGCTTTATGGCCTTTCGTCTCTCCCAAGAAAGCACCCCCCAGCTGCTTGTATGCCCCCTAGGGCCCCTTGCCTCTATACTGAGGAGAGCCCCCCAACACGCTACCTCTTTCTTTTCCTCATCTTCAGGACCCGCTTCGGGGCCAGGGGGGTCTGCCGAGGGCTGATCATCGGGGCCACCGGGTTCGAGGGCCTCGTTCTCCGGATGGGGCTCTGACAGCTCCATTGGCACCGTTTGCTTCTCCTCGCTGCGTGAAAAGAGGGAGAGGTGATCACTTGTGGCTGGGGGCTTCAAGGAACAAGGGACGCCTCCCTTCTACTTGAGACAAGGCCACGAAGAGCAGCTACCCCTACAAAAAGGAAGCCACAAGTCTGACCCCTTCTCTGCTGTCCCAGAAAACCTCTGCCCCGTAGCCCTACAGGAGCACCTTCTCCTAGCGGGTGTCCTTCCTCAATCTTCCAATCATTTCCCCTTCCCTCCCAGCTACGCACTTTCGCCGCTGCTTCCTCTCCTCCGGTGCAACCCTTCTAAAGGTCACTTCTCCCTCTCTGAACATCCTTGGAGTCTGCTTCACCAACAGCCAGCTCCAGAGTATCCCCAAGCATGTGAGAAGTGCCTTTCCTTCCCTTGCCAAACAATTCACTGTAAGCTGCCCCACATCCAGGATGGGGATGAGTCAGAAACAAGGGAGGGGGATGCTCCATACAAAACACCAAACGCTGCCTAAAGTCAGCCCGTTCCAAAAACTACCCACCTGAATCTACTTTCATGTCGCATATTATATACCCGGTCAATTACACCTTCTTCCCATCCCCGAGCCCTGCAGAACACCCCCACACCCCCGCTGCCTCCTGAAAAAGATGGCCCGGTCGCTGGGGCATCCGCTGCCTTGCCCTTAGAACCCACGGGCCCCGCTGTTGCTTAGGGGGCAGAATACCGACAACAAGGCACAGAGAAGGAGCAAGAGAAGCAGAGAGAGGGAAGGAGGAGCAGAACAGGCAAATGCACACATGTGCAGGATTCGAAGGGGAGCGAGGAGAAAAGGGCTCCGAGGAAAAAAATCTCTGCAGAAAAAAAGGCGGGCAGCGGAGGGGGAGGACGGTCGCTGAGCTGTGGGGAGAATCCAGCTGAGGAACCAGCTGGAAGGCAGCGGGATCAGAGTCCTGGGGAGGAGAAGCCAGCCAAGCAGGGGAAATGCAGTAAAATCGGGCCTCCTGGAAAGAAAGGGAGGGCGGCAGGGAGGGGGACCCTGTCAAAGGAAAGGGACAAGCTGGGGAGGGGGCTGGCTGGAGAACAGGAGGGCAGGGGAGAGAAAATGGACGGCAGAAGAGCCCGGAGGAGGAGGAGGAGGAAGGGAGAGAAAAGGAGCCGCGAGGCAGAGAAAGAGGGGGAGGGGCCGCAGGAAGGGAGTGAATGAATCGGGGGAATGAATGGAGGCGCAGCGAAGCGGCGGGGGGAGCGGAGCGGAGCGGAGAGAATGGCGCAGGAGGAGAGGGAGGCGGAGGCGGCGGCGAAGCGGCAGCGAGCAAGGGCGGAAGGGCGGGGGGCGGCAGGCGGGATGCGGAGGCAGCC